ATTTCAATCCTGATTCACCAGATTTTTCAATATGCGAATTCAAAGAGGATTATTAATGCAAAGTTTCAAATGGCAAGTCTGAAAAAGTAAAATCTCAGATTCCTGATTCCCAAGTACAAAGTATTTGGTTGCTTTAAGAATTGATTCCCTGCTCTTAGAAGAAAGAAATGTGGCAGTGCTTATATTTGGCTTGCTTATACTGAAGGTAGAAGACATTTTATGCAGTTATAGCCGGCAGGTCTGGAAAGCAAAATACCATTCCTGTAAAAGTCATTTAGGGTCTGAATTGTCCACACTTCCTGGGATACCTAGAATCACAGTTTATCCCTGTAGTTCTGTACTAGAATTTGCCCTTTTCAGATGTTTTCTGTTTGATGGTAATAACTTTTATCTTTCAGTTTGTTCGGCTTCACCCGAGACTGTGCCTGTTCTCAGATGCAACATCCTTGTGAAAACCTTTAATTTGCTGCAGAATTTCCTTAAGTTTATCAACTCATATCCCCCACCCCCACACTTCAGACTTCCTTTGTGGAACAGAACCTGCCATATTGTTGTCTTGCCTGGAATGAACCAGCACTGAAGAGCTTTAGGCAAACTTCCAGCAAATTAGACTTTAAAAACAACATCTTGGATTCTTCAGGTATGGAGTCAGGTCCCACAGTTAACAAAGGTAAAGTTAATGGGTGTAGCAAGTGAAGCTAAATTCCATAAATGGGTTTGAGGAGTTCATATACCCAACACGGTCCTCTTGGCAGTGACACCAGTGCTGTCCCTTAACTCTTTTCTGTATTTCCTTTTATTCTTCATTTAGTATTCTTGTGACAAATGTTGAGTAAGGAATGGGGTGGAGACCCAGTACCCAGAATTTGGACCTGCTTGCCCCCAGTCTCCAAGATGGTCTTTTCTCTGGTGATAATCCAACAGCTGGCTAAACTGGGCTAATCTGAATGCTTTACTCACTATCATGTGAGTGTTTATCGTCTGCTGCACTGTGTGATGATGTTTCTTAATTTTATTGCATTCATTTATTTATTCTGAACTATGTAATTAATACTATTAGCTGCCTCAGAGTTTCTTTTAAATGGACAGTGATGCATACAAATGTTTAACAATCATGGAATTCAGTAAACATTGTATATTAGTTGCAGATAGGGGAAATACATATTTTCCTACATTTCATGCACTTGGCCAAGTGTAAGGTTGATGTTCCAGTAAATACCACAACAATCAGTACTAAATTATTTATTAGGGCACGTTTACACCATAAACAAACATCAACACTTCTTTTTCTACAGCTAGCAAGGAATAAAATCCATTTGGGTTGCATTTTTTGTACAAGGAATTAATGTTCGGCTGGAAAGATTTCAGAATTCAGCAGGCTACCCAATGCACATCTAGACATCTATGAGTGGCAGAATTGCTCCATAACACACAATTTCTGGTAAGGCACTGTAAGTAGACCAAAGAACTTTTTTTATTGTAAGAAGCTAATTTACTAGCATTAGACTTCATGCACACATCTTTTTTTGGTAATGTTGAATGAAAATTTCACCAGAAAACCACAATGGTAACCAAAAGCTGGAATTTTGACATTTTACCCCAATATGACTCAGGTCACATGAGACTTTAAATATATAAACTGTTCAAGGAAAAAGTTCATTTTGACAATAAATGTTGAAAGGTCATATGCTCATAAACATATTTTAAACTAGAAGAAAGCAACAGGACAGTAATAGATCCAAGGAAAGCAACACTCAGTAGTTAACGTTATAATGACACAATGTACTTGTATGGTTCCCATTACTTTCTCTTCCAAATGACATTTAAAAGATTGCAGAACTTTATCAAGATTAGGCAACAGCCCCAGAAGAAAATATTTCAGAGCCCTCAAGGAACAAGCATCAGAATGAACCGATTTAAATAAATTCCCCAGCTTCCTGCCATGTATTTATTGAACTATCAAGCATACTAACTGGTTTCTGTATCAGAACAGCTTGCAATTAAGTAGTGCCTGTACTACCAAGGGTATAACCAAACCCTTCTCGTCATCTAGCCCACCCACCTTTTGAGATAATATTTGCTTAGATATGCAGTTGGAGTTTTCTATACACACCTGCAAGGCCATTGTGCAAATTCATGTGCTTGAGCAGAATTTTAAGCATGTTTACTCAGAAGTAGGCCTGTTGAATTCAATGTGTGTGCTCCTATTTTAAATCTTCATACAATTGCAGCCTGAGTAGCCTTAAACCTTCCAAAAGCAAGGGCTGATAATTACTCAGCAGAATGTTTCTCCATGAGACAGAAAGAAAATCTATTTTTTCTCTAACTACTCATAATTTACACAATAACAAATATTATCCTTTGGGTTATAGTTATAAAGATTGACCTGAAAACTACAAAGTTCTATCCCTGGTTCATTCTTTTACATAGAAAAGCAATCTTTGACTCAATGCACTGATTCAAATATAGAAAATTATAGAAACAATATTATTGCTTTCTTGTTTACATTCTCTCAATTTATAGGGAAATATATCACATCTCATTCTTAAGCTTCAACTTCTACAAGAGCAGTTTAAAATATATTGCAAATTTCAACAAAAGCATAAAAAACAAATATAACTACACAAATATGAATATATCAACTTTAGTTGGTACATGAGGAATGCATGTGTGTGTATAAACAGATATGAAAGCACAACTTTATACATAAACTTCAATAAAGGCAAACAAAATAATCATACACATATTCATTCATAAATAATGCCCACACACCAGCCATGCAAATGCCGAAAGCATCAAGAATGGACTTAACAAAGAGTTGACTTAACACTGGAAGACAATCCACTATGACAACCTTGTAGCTCCACAAATATCCCAGCAGACAAAAGACAGTGACTCTACTTTTCATTGTTCATCATATTATACTGCAGGCAGAATTGGATCTTCCCTATATGTGCACGTGTGTGAAGAATTCTAAATTTCCAGAAAGGCCTTCATTCACAGATTGAAGAAAAATGCCCCTATCTTCTTGAGGATGCCTAGCTTATATTGATTCAGTGTAATTGTTGGAATTGATGAGTTCATTGTGGCTACTGTATTAGACTGAAACATATATTTACAATCCAATTAAGGTCTGTACATGGCCCATAGAATGGGTACCATCCTATAATATGTCTGCTGAGAAGTGAGCCCCATTGTGTGCAGGTGAATGTGTATCTACGTACAACTAGAAACCTCTTTGTTGCAAATGCTTTTTGTATGTGGCACACTTTGATAGGATTACTTGAGAAATGTAATTAAGTATCAAAGATTTACAGGTTTGTGCATAAAATGTTTTCACCTTTCCTCCACCTTAACTATTAAATCTGGTCCTTTATGACAAGGAAATACTGCCTCCAGGCAACAGTACAGAAAAACTTTCACAAATGAAGGGTGTGAATGCATGTGATAATGGTGGGGAGAAGGGGGAATTGCCTTTTGAAGCTGCTCCACACAAACAAATGAGCCAATGTTTGTGGAAATTTTGCAGCCTAGCTTACGTGGAATTATTTATAAAACCCTTTTAAGTCCTTGATTGCTGGTTTGACTGGAAGGAAGGGAAGGTTCAAGAACATGAGGAATCTTTGAAAGCATCTAACTGCACATACACAATGTTCAGCACACATGGTTGGAATCTGCTGATTGACAATCCAGAGATGCCTGGTATCTCCATATGCACAAAACTGTAGATAGCCAATAAGTAGATACAGTTGTAAAACAGATGCAGTGGAAGACTCATGGGTGCATTGCTATTTCATCATTTTGCACAAATCCAGCAGAAATGTGTTAAAACACATTTTAAAACATGTTAAAATATGGTAGTATCAGGATGTTTTATCACTTTCATTGCCAAAGCACAATCTTTACAAACCTTTCTGTTTGGCAGTCTCCCAAAATGCACAGAGTGTGGTGACATATTCAAGCTTTTTACTGAAAGAGTCACCTGCAGCAAATGTTCTGCTAGAGGTATTCTTAGCACCATTCTATATATTTCTGCATCCAGAACAGCAGGGAACAAAGATCTGCACGGAAATATATGTCTGATGCTCCCCCTTGTGGTCTATAGTACCATTTTTTACAAGGAAAAAAGAAACAGAATACATTTGTGCATTTCCAAAGGCACAAAGAAAAACTTTTATGATAGTGACTGGATTGCCATTAAACCTAACTTAACGGATTTTTTCAGATTCCTGTTAGAAGCTTACAGAACAGTCAACCTCTGTACTTGCTAAAGATGCCACCCATGATGGAGGCTCACTTTATATCTAATATCTCAACTTTACAGCAGTGAATAGTTCATTAAAACCATAGCTGATGCGAAACTAACGCTCTTGCATTCTGCACACAGAAACAGCGTGATGAATATATCTAATGCCCTCTCTTCATCTGTTGTCTGTATGCCACTCGCGCTCACTAGATCTGCTTGTTTCGATAACCTGCGTAGCACACACATCTTGAAATATGTGATGGGATAGTAAAATAGACGAGTACAACAGCCACATTAGGAATCTCTCTGGGAGAGAGGAAGCCTGCTTAGAAATGCTTCTTTACACAAAGGCTTCAAGAGATCATTTTTGACATCTCCATCTCGGAATCTGGAAGGAGCATATTTTGAGCATGTACTGTTACCGGATGCTTTTTTCCTCTTTTGTTGTATGTTATTGCATGAATTCTTGCAATAATTTCAGCCAAAATCAGTCCTGACAAAAGTGTGTGTGCACGTTTGTGTTTGCATATGTGCTCATAGCAACACTTAGTTGATGGCACAGTAAATTAGCATATTTGCTTTCATTTATGGGTACTTTCCATTGGGATTCCTTAGAGTAGGAAAATACATCTTAGAATAAAAAAAAATATTGTACTATTCAGCATCAAATAAGAGGGTATGCATCAACTTTCCTCTAGCCATATCCAGGAAAGAAATGGTTAAACAAAGCTGTATTATCGCTCAATGCACTTACCTCTTCAACTGTCAATGGCATACAGATCCGGTACTCCTTCATGAGCATATTCCCACACATCTAATGCCAATCAGCAATTTAGGAGAAATGTGATCCTGCTACACCCTAACCGTATCCAAAAATTTAAAATATTTAAGTCACCGAAATCTACAGCACCCTGTAGCAGCCGTGCTTTGTACCGTATGGAGAATTCGACACTGCCACCATGGAGAGAGCTGACCCAGCAAAAAGAGAAGCACAATTTTTCCTGTCTTCCAGTTTTTCGGCTTCAAACTGTGATCATGTGATTCTTAAATATCTATTTCCATGCACGCACACGGAAGGGGTCTTCAGAGGGAGAAAACGATCATTGTGGAAACGCCGAAAGATCGGAAACGGCTGTGCAGTTCTATCAAGACATTCTTCGAGCAGTAGGGGGGAAAAGTAGCACAAAACCGCGGAAGCCGCTCGGCAGCGTAATGTCACCGGCGCCGGCGGCCAAGATGCGAAGCGATGCGATGCGGTGCGGCGCTCGCTCCCCAGACAAAGGCTGTGTGTGTGTGCAGCGTTTCCTTCGCGGCGGCGGGTAAACAAGGTCCGCTCTGCGCCTTCCTGTCCTGGAGCTGCTGTCGGGCGCTCGGCGCTACTGCACCGCGAGGGAGGCAGGACGCGGCTGGGCTTCGCCTCCCACCTTGGCTCGCCCGTGGGGGCTGGGCTTCCCCGGCGGGGCCGCGCGCGGGACGCGCGCGCACCGCTGGCCGAGCTGCGAAGCCGCTGCAGCAGCGGCAGCGGCAGGCGCCTCAGGGCGGGCGTGAGGAAGACGCGAGCTGGCCGACATCAGCCGCCGCCGCCTCCGCAGCAGGAAGGATGGCCCGTCCGGCCAAAGGGGAAATGGCCGAGCGAGGAATGCGAGCGTTTTGGAGCCAGGCAGCGGCGCGTCTCCGCGCTCAAGCGCCGGGGAGCTGCGGGCGAGGGAGCCGCGCCAGCCGCAGGGCGAAGCTGGAGGCAGCGTCGCCGCGCTCGTGCAGAACTAGGCGGGAAGCAGCGGCGAGGCGCCGGACGGCTGAAGTGGCACAACGGCGGGGCCGCGAACGGCGTCCCCAGGGGCCGGGAAACCCTGATTTACTGCGTGTGTTACGAAAGCTGCGTAAACTTTCGAGATAACACCGCCACAGCATCTGCCGTCCTTTTACGCATGGCATTTTTCTGCATTTTAATTGTATCGACCGGATATTATTTTGACTGTGCCCACTCCGCCATGAACCGGAGCATAATAGCCTTGCTATCAATAATAGACCCCACTATTCATTTCGCAGTGACCATTTGTGCACAATTGGGAGTGAGATACATTGCATTCATTTGCTGAAATTGTCCTGGAATATTTTGTAATGCTGAAGGAGTTTTTCAAAGTCTTTGTAATTTCTGACAATACTGGAATCTGAATCTCTGGAAGCATTTAAACAAAAGCAAGTGAAGGAAGGAAAGAAGAAACTATCGAGGCCGGGTCTAGAGTGCCTCTACTTGGTGTTGGGCGACCGAGACAGATTGAGGATTCTGCTGATGTACCGTGCACCCTTCTGCCCATCAGACTCCCTGCCTGAGCTGACCGAGATCATCTCGGACCTGGTGTTGAGGACCCCCAGGATGTTGGTCCTGGGGGACTTCAATCTCCATGCCGAGACTGTTCTGACCGGGGCGGCTCAGGACTTCATGGCCTCCATGACGGCCATGGGGCTGTCTCAATATGTCATAGGCCTGACCCATGAACGCGGGCACATGCTGGACCTGGTTCTCTCCACAGGGCAGGAAGAGGGTGATCTGAGGGTGAGCAATTTATGTTTGACTCCCCTGTCATGATCAGATCACTTCGTGAGGTTTGAGCTCAATGCCGGCCTTTCCCTCTTTAAGGGTGTGAACCCTATTGTGTTGGTCCGCCCTCCGAGCCGGATGGATCCGGATGGATTCCGGAAGGCTCTGGTGGAGTTTCCAGTTGATAAAGCTGGCGCTCCTGCTGATGCTCTGGTTGAATTGTGGAATGGGGAAATGGCCAGAGTTATTGACAAGATTGCGCCCAAGCGTTCATTCCCTTGGTATACACCTGAATTACGGGCAATGAAGCGGGTTGGGAGATGTCTGTAGCATAGGCGAAGGAAATCACAGGATGAATCTGACCGAACACACTTACAAGCTCACTATAGAGCCTATGCTGTGGTGGTGAGGGCGGTGAAGAAGAAATTATTTTCCACTTCCATTGCCTCTTCATAGTGCTGTCCAGTGGAGCTCTTTCGGGTGGTACAGGGGCTTGTACATCCAGGCCCTAAGAAAGATCCCGTACCACCCTCGATGACTTTGCCCAGCACTTTAAGGAGAAAATCGCTCAGATTTGTCAAGAGCTGGACTCCACTAGTGATTCAGATCCTCTAGGGGAGGTGCCAATATCTCTGTCTGGTCAGATATTATTGGATGAATTTCAGTTATTGCGGCCTGATGATGTGGACAAGGTGCTTGGACAAGTACGTCCCACCACCTGTTTACTTGACCCTTGCCCGTCATGGCTACTGACCAAAGCCAAACACGGGATTGGTGCCTGGATCCTGGAGGTCATCAACACCTCTCTGAGGGATGGCCGGGTGCCCCTCTAAAGGAGGCGGTAGTCAGGCCGGTCCTAAAGAAGGTGTTCCTGGATCCAGAGATGGCCGCCAATTCTGGACCGGTGGCCAACATCCCGTTTCTGGGTAAGGGGTTGGAACGGGTGGTGGCAGGACAAGTCCAAGCACTCTTGGATGAGACTGACTGTCTGGACCCATTTCAGTCCAGCTTCAGACCCAGGTATAGTACTGAATCTGCCTTGGTCGCCCTGTTTGATGACCTGTGCAGGAAGAGAGATGGGGAGTGCATCCCTGTTGGTCCTTCTGGACCTCTCAGTGGCTTTCAATACCATCGACTATGGTATCCTTCTGGATAGGCTAGCGGGACTGGGAGTAGGAGGCACTGCTTGGCGGTGGTTCCACTCCTACCTCAACGGCCGATTCCAGGTGGTGGTGCTGGGGAACTTTGGGTCTGTGCCATGGCAGTTATGCCATGGAGTACTGCAGGGGTCCATTTTGCCCCCTTTGCTATTCAACATTTACATGAAACTGCTGGGAGAGGTCATCAGGAGGTTTGGGCTGTGGAGTCATCAGTATGTTGATGACATCCAGCTCTACCTCTCTTTTTCAACCAATCCAGGTGAGGCAGTGGCTGTGCTGAACCGGTGCCTGGCCGAGGTAATGGGCTGGATGAGGGCCAATAAACTGAAACTCAATCCAGACAAGATGGAGGTCCTGTTGGTGGGTGGTTCGGGCTCCTGGGTAGGTGACTTGGACCTTGTCCTGAATGGGGTTGCACTCTCTCTAAGGAACAGGGTCCATAGCTTGGGAGTGCTCCTCCACCCAGAGCTGTCTTGGAAGCTCAAGTGACTGCGGTGGGGAGGAGAGCTTTCCTTCAGCTTCAGTTACTCCATCAGCTGCGTCCCTACCTGGAGGACGATTGCCTAGCGACAGTGACCCATGCATTGGTTACTTCCCAATTGGATTTCTGTAACACGCTCTATGTGGGGCTGCCCTTGAAGACAGTCCGGATACTTCAGATGGTGCAAAATAGAGCAGCCAGGTTGCTGATGCGGACTGGGCATTATTCTCACATAACCCCAGTCCTCTACCAGCTTCACTGGCTCCCCATCGAAGTTCGGGCTCAATTCAGGCTATGTTGTGAGCCGCCCCGAGGCTTTGTTGCAATGGGGGCGGCATAGAAATGTTTTAAATAAATAAATTCAAAGTGCTGGTTATTACCTATAAAGCCCTTAATGGCTTGGGACCTGGACACCTAAAGGAACACCTTCTTCCATACTTGCCCTCTCGCCCCCTGAGATAAGCAGCAGAGGCCCTCCTCTGGGAACCCACCCCCGTGAAAGACATTAGGAGGCTAAGTACCCGGAGGAGGGCTTTCTCTGCGGTGGCGCCCCACCTATGGAATGCGCTCCCCAGAGAGGTCTGCCTGGCGCCGTTGTTATTTGTTTTTCGGCGCCAGACTAAGACCTTTTTATTTAAACAATATTTTAATAATTTTAATGTCATCTATTGGTTTTTTAATTTGCAGCCAGGGTGAATCTGGATTTTATGTGCACTATTTGTATTGTGTTTGTTTATTGTATGTAAGCCATCCTGAGGCTCAAGCGAATGGGATGGCATACAAAAATTCTAAATAAACTATGTAAAAAGAATGCATGAGGAGGCACCAGCAAAAACAGCAACGCAACTTAGCATTTTAAAGTACCAATCCTTGGCTGAAAAACCTACCTGCAAAACCATCCACGGCTTTGCCCCTCCCCCCAAAACTTATCCCTCCATTCTTATAGCCCCTCCATCCCTTAATGCAATCTTTCCCTGCTTGATTTCATCATCCACAACTGCTAAAAGGGTCTCTTGCTCTCATTCTAGAATGACTCCATCAGTTCTTCCTTGGTGCCCGATTGCTTGGAACTGCCTCTTGGTTTGCATCCACAAGCACCATCTCAGGATTTTTTTTATTCTCGATTTATATCCTGCCTTTTTCCTACAAAGGGCTCAAGGCAGCTTACATCTCCCCCTCCATCTTATCCCCACAACAACAACCCTGTGAGGTAGGTGGGGCTGAGAGTCTGTGACTGGCCCAAAGTCACCCAGTTGGTTCCATGGCCGAGCGGGGACTCGAACCCAGATTGCCTGAGTCCCAGTCCCACGCTCTTAACCACTACACCACACTGGAATGAAGCCTTGGCTGGGGACAGTCAGTCAGGAGGCATCAGGAAACAGGAGTCAAGGCAGAAGCAGAACTAGCAAGAGGCTGAGGCAGGAGTAAGTTAAAGGCACAGTCCTACAAACGGTGCCTCAAGAGCTTGTAAAACCCCGAGCTCAAAGGTTTACAAGCATTTCCTGCAGAGCAGGAGGTGCAGAAAAGGTGATCTTGGCCTCCCCATCTCCTACACTGCATTTTCACTGGTTGCACTTGTTTGACCAACTAGCAAAACCTCACAGAGCTGGAGGGAAGGTTGGAGAGGCCTCAGGAGTGCTTCTCTCCTGGCTTCTCCACTCTCCTCCCCTTCCCACCCATTGAAGCAGCCCCTGTAGACCAGTGATGGTGAACCTTTTAGAGATCGAGTGCCCAAACTGCAACCCAAAACCCACTTATTTATTGCAAGTGCCAACACTGCAATAAAAACCGAATACTGAGGTTCTAGTTTAGAAAAAAACAACTCACAGCTAGTCCAAGCAAATACATATATATCCATGGCAGCCCACTGACTGGCCATGCAAAACGTTGGATGAGTCATGGCTAATGGGTTGCAGCTCTTGACGTCATTGTCTGGCACCATGACTCCTTTCCAAGCATGCGCATGGCCCCTATGTGCACAGTTATCCAATGCTCGGCTGCTGGGGTGATGCTGGGGGGACTTGGCTCACGGGCCGACACAGGGCTCTGCATGCCCGCTGTGGCACGCATGCCATAGGTTCACCACCACTGCTATAGACAGATCTTTTACTTCCAGCTCCAAGCTTGGAGCCCTGTCTCTAACCGCCACTCTTGGAATGAGAAGCCCCCTGTGACACTTCAGACACTAAGATACCTCCTCAATT